ACAGAAAAGAAGAGTCCATGATTTGCTTGTATCTCACAAGATCATCTATGTTCCCATCTACACACAGCCTTACAATGATTCCCCTGCCTGCCCCTATCAAGGGAGAAAAATCTTTTCACAATTGCAATTGGCATTTAATTAAAGACTCTGGTTTCCATTGATCTCCCCACCCCCAGTCCTGGAGTATCTACTACCGGTGGTTGAAGTTCACATAAACCTAGGTCAGAAAGCAAAGCCTCCTGACAGCTCTGATTTCTCTAGGCCATATTATCAGTCTCCATCCTATTACTGGTTAATACCACTCACCTCCCCCAAACTCCCCCAGTTCTGCAGAAGTGACCCCAAGAAAGCTGAAGGCATTTCTGTTTCATTTGTTACCAGGGATTTTAACATATTCACCATTCAAAAGATATTTCTGAGCACTGCTTGAACATTTGACTCTTTGAATTCAAGGACAATAATTTACATTTAGGCCTTCAACATTTCATCTTGTAGTCATATTATCATCCCAACTACCAAGGTCTTTCTTAACAAGCACTCTCAGTTTACATATTTCCTATCCATATATAGTGATGAATGGGAAGTCTGCCACGTCTGTTCTCATGCAAGTTAAATTTTGATAAGACTGTTCTTCAGTTGAAACCCATTAAACCTCCATTGAAACTGGAGTTAGAGATTGTTGTTAGCCACCATAAGGGTGCTGGGAACCAAAACTGCTCTTCAAGAGCAGCTAGTGAGCTTAACTGATGAACCATCTCTCCAGTCCTAGTTTTTAGCTTTTTGAGCTTTGAAAGATATTCATGAACTAGGTCAAAAAGTAAAAATAAGAAGTCTAGTCAACACATAAAATATGATAGTTCTCAGCAGAAGATATGGGTCTGCAGTAGAGTGCTCGTATAGGATATGCAAGGCCTTGGCTTCAATCTCTAGTACTGCAAAAGAAAAGAAAAGCAAAAAACAAAACAAAACAAGGAAAGAGATACTTGTCACTGCGCCAACACCCCAAAAAGTGCTAATGGATGAGTGAGTGAGGTTCCTACCTGCTTTGGAGACTTAAATGTACTTACATGTTAAAGAATAGAAAAGGTCATCAGTAGTCCAGGTTACCTGCTGCCTGGAATCTGACTTTTAGCAATCAAATGTGATGACCACTGTAAACCAGGCATAGTTGTGCTTGCCCATAATCCCATCACTCAGGATACTAATGCCAGGGACCAAAAGTTCAAGTCCCAGGCTGGCCTCAAACTTGCAGCAGTCCTCTTACCTCAGGCTCCTAAAGTCATGGGATTATAGGTATATGCCACCATTCCTGGGTTCTGGGCTTTTCAAACTGCCTGTTCCTTGGTAGTTTATTATCAGTTCTTAACTAGAGAACACATTTACCAATTTAATTGTATAGATCAAGCAATATCAAGAGGCGTTAAGAAAATCCTTGTGGCCCCATAAAACAGTGATAGTCCCACAACTTGGCCAAAAGAGCCATCAGTCAGCTGAACACAGATAAGTTCATAAGGACTTCTAAAGGGATTATTTTTAAAAACCTAGATGTAGGAAAATATGAATATAGGAAGATTGAAAGCACTAGCATTTTCCATGAGACAGCCCCTTCAAAATGCATTTTCCTGGTTTTTTTGGAATTCTAGATGCAAATGAGGCTCCAGTCTGTGGCCTAGTGAAAGATAATAACTGCCAAGGAAGCCTAAAATAGCCTACCTAAAAAGGAGTGCTCAGGCAGGACACCGAGCACTGGAGTTCATCAAAGTTGGCCATCGCTCAATAAACACACTTTTGCACCCTGAGAGCTGAGTGGGAGGAATTCAGTGATGTTCCTTAGGACCAAGCCTGAGCTGAAATGACCTCTTTGTTTTGAGGAACAGTAAAATGATGTCTACTTTCTTCATGCAAGACCATTCACCCAGTTCGTATGTCATTCCACAACACTGAAAATAAATTCCACAGAAGTCCTTACTTGCTGACGTGGTTACTAAACATTTTGCTCATATTCGATGTTTTCCAAAAGAGTCTTCATAGCCCAGGACTACATTCTGTGTTGTGCAGAACCATTAAACTGGCCCTGTGCACCTATCTGATAACACTTTATATATCAGCATCTAAGATTAGGTACAGAAAGTTGCAGACATACTTTTCTTAAGAATAGGAAATGTCTCCAGCAATGGAATGTCTATCACAGGCTTAGTGTTTATCTCTCAAAGCTTTGAGAGATCTTTATGGCTAGGATCCACAAAAAGTTCTCAGCCAATAAACAGTCCTTATGCCACTCCAGTGACATTTGCAGTAGGTGAGGGAAAAGGAGAACAGGACGGCCAGCGTGGGTTTTTGTGGTCCTTCAGTAGCATCTGCAGACACTAAGGAAAGATAACTTGACAGTTTTCTTTGTTAGTCACTGGACCTTATATTTAATTACATTAAACTGATAACCCAAGGATATTTTTTAAGTGCTGTAAAATAAGATTTGTTGTCAAGGATTAGAAAATGAATGGGATAGGTCCTTAAGTATTTTGAAAGTTGAGAACCACAGTATATTGACTCACAATTCGAAATAACCAAACTGAGGTTTGGGGTAGGGACTGAGACAGGTTCTTACCATAAGCCCAGGTTGGCCCCAAACCTTCAATCCTCTTACTTCAGCCTCCAGGGTGCTGGGATTGCACATATGTACCACAAGGCCTGGCTAAACTAATTTTTAAAAAAAATAAAGAACATTTTTTCAAATTGTGGTACTCTTTCTTACCTAGCAAAATTTTCATTAAACCAGTTCTATTGTTATAATATCACTGGTGACATTTAAAAAATGGTAGCTATAGTTGAACATGACCCACTTTATAAGTTTCTATTATCTTAAGTTAATAACTGGTTCTAGATTACCTTTAGGAATTATCTAGCAGATAAAAAGTTAGAAAAATAAAATACAAGAAAAACACTTGTCATATTGCACACTCGTTTGACAGTATACAGTGTTTATTCCTTTGAAATGGCAGTATCTAGCGTCCTATAAGATATTCTCAATTTGAAAGGCAATCCAACTAAAGAAAATATATATTAAAGATCCCATCATAGTTTATGTAAAGCAACACTATAGTTCGTGGCATAGTTTGTTTTCTTTTTACTTCTCATCTCCCAGCCTGACTTGGAAAAAAATCTAAACCAATGAGAAAATCCAAAAGCTGAAAAGTCATGTTTTCTCAGCGATATGTTTCCCATTAGAGCTTGTTTTTAACCAGATCGCTGTGCATGTTGAATGGGTACAACATTGGCAACCGCTGACCGGGTTTGGGCCAGCAACGCTAACACTGCTGAGGGCTCTGCCCTGGAAGGGCCGTGCTTCCCATTGCATGCAGACACTGACCCTGTACTTTCTTTCCTTCCCTTTGTTTCCTGTGCCATGCTTGCTGTGTAGCAAATGGAATCTCTTGCAGTAAGTTAACTTTCTTTCATACTCTTTGTCCATTTAGGCATGGACCCATAACAAGCCTTATTTTTACTATTACTACTGTATCTTTTAGCATGTTTTCCCTTTCTCGTTTAATTTTATTTTCTTTGGTAGACTGAGGCATGGCTGCCTATCAGTAGTCTTCTGGGCTGCTTTTGCCCCAAAGTAGAAACCGACATTGCTATGAATTCTCATACTTTGATGGAACATTTTAAACAATAACTACCATCATTTGGCACTTAGAAAAGTCAGAGTTTTCGTAGCTTGGTTTCACCCCAAATTGGGACGATAGCATTATTTTTAAACAACACTTTTTTTATTTGCAAGACCCTGGGTATTACTTTCATACTAGATTTTAAACGGTTTCCCTTTTTTTTTTTAAGTTTAAATTGCCATAAGATAACGTATTTTACTAAGACAACCAAAGACACAGTTCGTGTTAATTAGTGGATATAAGTACTTCTTTACTCTTGGGCTGGTTGCCGGTATTAAACAGGCCTAAACAGGACTGATTTGCTCCTAGGAGGAAGGAAGTAGGGGAGGAAAAAGGAAACCCCATTGAGCGTAGTCCTAGCATGAATTTTATCTTTTTCTTTTTAGCATCATTTTCAGTAACTTAAAAATCAGAATCAAAAGAGTTCGTAATATCGACAGAATATACTACCTAAACTTAACATCTTAGAATTTCTCTCCATAAACTGATTTGGTGAAAACATTTTAAGTTGTCTCAAAGCCTTCAGTTCTGAGCTGAGTTCTTTATAACCCCCAGTATGAATAAAGTCTGGTTGACCCTGCCTTACCCCCTCTTGAAATCAAACACTGAAGTGTTTGCATTTGGTTGCACCAGGTATTTAACCCACTTTCACTGGTGGCTGCTGAGCCAAGGACTCCTGTCTAGTGCAGACTTCATTTCCTTTGCAGTTCTGCTCAGTCTCTAGGAGCTAGCCCATCAGCATAGAGGATAGAGCTCAAGGAGTACTCTGAGCTTTGGTGTCAGGAGTACCTGTTGTTTCTTCAATATCTCTAATTCGCACTTTGGCTTGTGTTTCTGTAGACTTCAGGAGCGTCTGCCCCCAAGATGGCAGCCAAAGCTCACACAGTGGCCTCCCAAGTAGCTACTCGACTTACAAATTTAACACCTACAACTAATTATTATTTTGCCTTTCAGCTACACTTGTAATAAAAAGAATTCTCTGCTTTTTAAAAGCAATTTATAGCTTATAAAATTAACACAACCACTCAGCTATAATTTGTAGGTATTTCTTTGGCAAATGCAATAGATGTGGTTCACTCAGCCCTTTCTGTAGCCGTTTCTCCTTTCTAATTAGCCACCCTTCATTATATAGAAAATATTCGAAATTATACTGTGACTTTCTCACTGATATTTGTTGACTGGGTTTGCTTTGGGTGTTTTATTTAGAATGTTAACAGATAGTTATGTTTCCTTAAGTTTTTAAAGAAACGATGTGTTTGTCTGCCCTGAGATTTCACTAGTTTTGCAAGAATGAGCCTTAATAACTGTTTCTTCCCATACACCTTCTCTCTTTAGCAACTGGAACTGTGTCAGAGATTATATAAGCTGCACTTCCAGCTGCTGTTGCTTTTTCAGTCCTACTGTAAGCTCATCGGCCAGGTGCACGAAGTGAGCTCCATGCCGGAGGTGAGTCCTCGCCGCACAGCTCATCGCTTGTTATTTCCTTCTCCGTTCTCCACCCAGTTAATAACTGTCCAAATGGGTATTTGCACATAATAATTTTGCTCAACCATGAGTCAATGAAATATATGTATTTATTTCTTTTCTCACTTCTGAAACGGTTTCCAGAGCAGGGCCACAACTAAGATGTGCCCCCACATGGGGGGGGGGGCAAAATCTCCCCCACAGTTGTACCTAAGTGCCACATTTGCATCACCCTGATCCTGGCCATCAGGACATCCTTTGAAAAAAGCCCCTGTGTTTTATTTCTTCTTGGTATGTAGCCCTTCATCCTTGCCCTTAACTTAAGAAAGAAATGCCTCTATGTCTTCTATTCCCCATTTATGTCTAAATGTCAAAATCAAAATCATCTGAGCACACTACTTCCAATTTGGGGTGAACTCCAATTTTCTAGGAGAGAAAATGAAGGGATGGTGGTGTACACTGGGGAAGCCCAGAGGACATGCGCCTCGTTTCCTAAAGGCAAGAAAAGTTGAAATCAGAAAAATTCCTGGTGGAATTCTCTCACCTGAGCAGAATCTTACAAAATGAAGTAGAACTATGGAGTGAAAGTTCAATAAGAACAAAATCATTTGCATAAATATGGCAATAGGGGCTGGAGAGATAGCTCAGTGGTTCAGAGGACAGACGCTCTTGCTGAGGACCTGGGTTCAATACCCAGCATCCACATGGTGGCTATCAACCATCTGTAACTCTAGTTCCAGGGGATCTGATATCTTCTTCTGACCTCTGCAGGCATCGAACGACACAGGTACACTTACATACATGCAGGCAATACAAAAATAAATAAATATGGCAATAAGAGAAGAAGCTACGAGCAGATTATGTCACTAGAATAAAACAAACAAATAATACCTTTTAAAAATCAAAGAAATACAGAGGAAGAGGAAAGGAAAAGGGGAAAGGAGTACAGAAATTCAAGCCACATGCCATTGTTTACACTAAAAAATCAGTTGGAGCAAGATGATTGACTAGAGATGCCTAATGCTTAAAAGAACCAAAACAGTGAACAAACATCCACAGTAGAGCAAGGGACTAGTGGATACCCTCAGGGAGAAAGAAACTGCCCATCCTCTGCCATTCATCCCCTCAGGTCATCTTCCCAGAGAGGATCATCTCAGATGCAGGAGGGCTTTCCTCTTGTGAGGAAAAGGTAAGCAGAAGGCACCCATCTCTACACCGTTACTGCTACAGATACCTGTAAGTCTTTGCTGTGGAGAATCCTGCTGCCCTTGCAGACCTGAAGTTCACATAGCTTAGTATTCCAGAGAAAGAGCCCCACCCACTCCAAGACCCCAGCTGCTACTGTACTGCATCATCTTGAAACCAGAGCCACTACCAAAGCCACCTGCTCTGGAGGACAATAATCACTTAACTCTCTACCTCTAAGGCTCTGCCATCATTGTACCATACTCAAGATGGTAGTGCACCATTCCCCAGCTGAAAGGCCACAGCGCCCTGACCCCTGGGGAAACGGTGTCCAAAAGGTACTGCATCTCCCCCATAGTAGTTGCTACTATAGCCTGTCCCCAGATACTCAGAGCCAAGGCCCCAAAGATCAATCTTGACTTCAGCACCAAAGCTAGAATACCACTTTATCCATCAGAGACCAGACATTCCTGGAAACCAGAAAACCCAAACCAGAGCTGGCAGAACAGTTGTATGCCTCAGTACCTGAGCTAACCTTTGTGTTAGTGAATTTAGATCTTTGACACAGGAGGTGAGCCATCAGCTTGGAACTCAGGCCTACACAATGCTATGCCCACTCAGAACCTGAACCAGCTTAGGGCCTAGACCCCAGGGAACTGAACTTTCAGCAGAGGAACAGCTGTAACCCAGCACATGAGCCCATGCTGGAGCCTTGCCCCAAAAGGATCAAGATGACACAATGATAGTAGTTAGTACCTTAAATAAATGGTGCTAAGAAAACTGTATTTCCATATATAATAGAAAGAAATTTGACCCTATCTTTGTTTTTGTGTTGTTTTGCTTTGTTTTTTTGAGACAGGGTCTCCCCTGTAGCCCCAACTGACCTAGAACTCACTGTGTAGACCAGGCTGGCTTCGACTCACAGAGATCTGGCCGCCTCTGCCTCCTGAGTGCTGGGATTAAAGGCATGCACCACCATGCCTGGCTATGACCTTTATCTTAAACCATATGCATAAAACAACTCAAAGTGGATAATAAATCTACCCAAAAGAACTGAAACCTTGGAACTCACTGAGAAGAGAACAGAAAGGGAAAACTCCTTGATACTGACCTTGACAATGATTTGTGGATTAAAAAAAAAAAAATCCATGTTAAACTCAAGCACTCATTACCCTAAGGATGGCTATTATTTTTTAAAGGTAATTGGCAAGGATATATAGAAAACTGTTGGTGGGAATGTGGATTTGCACAACCATTATGGAAAACAGTGTGGGGGTTGTTAAATATATTGAAAATAGGGGCCAAGAAATGGCTCAGCAGTTAAGAGCCTTGGCTGTTCTTGCAGAAGACCTGGGTTTGAATCCCAACCACCCATATGGTGGCTAACAACCATCTGTAATTCCAGTTCCAGGGGCTCCAACATCCTTTCCTGTCCTCCATGGGCACTGCAAAACACGATGCACTTACACACATGCAGGCATAATATTCATATACATAAAATTTTAAAAAAGAAATTAAAAGTAGAATCACATGCCTTTAATCCCAGCACACAGGAGGCAGAGGTAGGCAGATATCTCTGTTCTACATCATAAGTTCCAGACCAGCTGGGGCTATAGGCAGACCCTGTCTCAAAAAGACCAAAAAACAAAACAAAACAAATGAAAATGGTTCTGTATTATAGATCTTTATTAAACACCATCTTATCTGTTCTTATAATAAAGTAATTATAAGATGATAGACATGTTAAACTTCACTATGATAATTAATCATTTTACTACCTATTTACATCCCATGACATCATATATGCATAATTAAATTAAATTTTAATTTATATTTTATTTAACCTACTATCTAAAACATTACCATTTCAATGTGTTATTAATAGAATTATTTTCTACATAATCATGATGTAAGATTTATTTTTATTTTAAAAGTATGTGTATTTGTGTGTGTCTGCATATGAGTACATGCACATGAATGCTGGTGCCCAGAGGTATTGAATCCTCTGGAGCTAGAATTATAGGCAGTTATGAGCCACCCCATGTGGATGCTGGAAACTGAAGTTGGGTCCTCTGCAAGAGTGGTATATGCTCTTTACTCCTGAGCCATTTCTCCACCCCTCACATAATAATTCTGGAGTTCTAAAAACTTCATGTCTTCAGAACATTTGAAGTGCTTAAAATAGTTAGCCATAGTAGATGGTACAACTCTGATTTTTGTTCCTTGGGGTTGGGGGGTGCTGCAGATTGAACCTGGGGCCTCATGCTATACAAGCACTCTTCCACTGTGTTATAGCCTGAGTCCTAACTTGATCATCAGTAACTGAACCCCTCTCCCTCTCATACAGCCTTCACTGTGAGCATCTCATTCTCTGTTCACTACTTTAGTAGGGTTTTCCTGTGCTTCATTCAGTGATGGGTCCTGCCAAGTCTGACAGGGAAGCTATTTTATTTGCAAGGAGGTTGAAGCAAGCAAGAGGAAATGGAAAGTGTTGTCCCATCACCTATTGTAATAAACCAATCCCAGGAAGTAGAAAGTTCATCCTGAAACTACCTCCTCTGTCAGCACCCTATTCATAACGGGGAAATGCAACACGAAGTTGACAGAAATATGGAGTGAAACTGAAACTAGGGAAAGCAATGACTGAAACTAGGGAAAGCACGTTCTTTCCTATAACACTAGAATGGATCTGGCCCCCCTACACCTGCTTCCAACAGTGCAGACCCCTTCATTGAGAACAGAGGTAGAACACCTGCCAGTAGGAATACAAGCTAGAGCTGCAGAATTCTACATTAGAGGCCTCTGGTGATGAGGGATAGGATGTTAAGAACATCAGTGATTTACCAGTTTATCCAGTCAATGTTGTTCAAACCAGTAGCTAATCTAATCAGCAGTTTTGATTCAACCAGCAGCAAATCTAATCCATACCGTGATCCACAATACCTCCTCTACTCATGGACTCATCCTGTCACTTGCTGGTCTAATAACCAGCTAGCCAAAGGGTGACTATCTAATCACTCAGCTCCTAATCTTGTTTGAGATTGGCTTGTGTATTTTGTTGTTTGTCTGTGTGCTTTCTTGCTCTGGTCTTTTTGTAATTTTTTTTTCCCAGTGCTGGGGACCAAACTCAGGGCCTCCCTCTTGCTAGGCAAATACTCTACCACTAAACTAAACTGCCATCCTCACACACCTAATCTAGTTGACACTTTGATCTAATCAGCATCTGATCTGACCAGTAGGTGATACAATCAGGAGTTTGTCTGCTTTACTTTGGATCTATCAGTGTATAACCCAGACTTGGAGATATCTTATTTTAAAAGTCCTTTTAATTGAGCATGGTGACTCATGCCTGTAATCCCAGCACTCAGAAGTTGAGGCCTGAGTTCTAATTCAGACTATTATAGCTGCCTCATAGTTTAATGGACCTCTTTTTTAAAAAATTAATTTATTATTTATTTAATGTGTATATGCCTAAATATATTTTATGTGCACTACATACATACATGTACTACATACCCAAAGAGGCCAGAAGAGGGCATTAGATCCCCTGGAGTTGGAGTTATGTGCAATTGTGAAACCACTGGACATGGGTACTAGGAACTGAACTCCAGTCCTCTGCAAGAGCAGGAAGAATTCTTAACTGCTAAGCCATATCTCCAGTCTCTTAAATCCCTTAAGTCTCTAAAGAGGGGAATGGGGCCAGGTGTGGTGGCACACACCTTTAATCCCAGCACTCGGGAGGCAGAGGCAGGTGGATCTCTGTGAGTTCAAGGCCAGCCTGGTCTACATAGTGAGTT